CTGCTCCATTGCAGCAACTGCTTTTTTGGGGAAAAGTTGTTCTCCAGGTTACTCACAGACTTTTGTCCACCTACTGTAGTGGGTCTGATAAAGCAATTGAGTGCAAGTTACTCACTAGTTTCCCCATTGCAAGCGGAATGGAACATCTCTATCAAACAGTTCAAAACAGTAAAATCTTTTTAATCTGCCCAGCACCTGGTGAGCTCTAGCCCTTTCTTCATTTCAAACAGCCTAGAGAAAATTTTACTCCCAAAACACATTCCTTAAAGAGGGAGGATCAAGAGTCTGGAAATGTATGATTTTGTCGCACAAGTCAGAACACAAGTAAAAAGCCTCAGAGCCATAACTGTTACAATATCTTCTTAAGAAGTTTTATTAATTGCTTACAAAAAAAAATAAATCCAGACACGCAGTAAATTAAAGCAGAAAGCAAACTGAGGGAAGAAGGGAAAAAATGGAGAGAAGCAGGCCCCTGAGACAGAGAGCCCCTTCTAAGGAGAACAAAAGCCAGTTGCAAGTGTATGTTGGTGGCCAGCCCTTTGCATGGGGGAAGAATGTTAACAGGAGAACTGAGGATGTGCTAATACTGTGTAGTAGAAGACATGAAGGGGTTTGCAAAATGCAAGTTAAATTTGCAAGGACTGGGAGCAAGCCAAATCCTGGTGACTCTCTCAAATATTTGAGTTTTAGTCCTCCAGAGGTCTCTCCAGTACATATAGAAAGCTCCCACCTCCCCACAAAAAAAAAAGGCACCAGAACAACCTTTTATCTAGACACCTTCAAGGATCAAGCAAAAGAGAATTAGAAGAGTTGAGGGTTTCCCAGATGCACATATCACCTCAGCCCACAAACAAACATAGAATAAGACTTTTTAGTACACCTGGATTTGAAGTTCCATAGGGACTTTTGACACAGCTCCTCTGGAGCATTAAACTAAACTTAAAAAAAAAAAAAAAAAAAAGCCATCAAGCATAAGCCAATTGGAAAAGGAAACCTCAACTCATCAGTAGGGACCAAAAACCAAGAAATACTTCATAAAAAAAAAATTAAACCACAGCTCTGAGTGGCCACTGTTCACATGGACAGAGTCCAGAAAGTTTTGTACCTGTAACTGGTTGGTGAAAGGATGGTCTGCATCTGGAAACTGAGAAAACCTGGACTGGACTAGACTAATTTAGCCTTGTCCTCCATGGAAAGGAGAAGGGCAAGGATTCCCTCTGCAACTTACTAAACTTCAAAAGCAGAAGTGGCCCAGGTACAGCTATGGCAAAAACAACAGGGGTTAGGTTCCCTTAGCCTGAAGATGACAGATGGTTCTAGGATACCATTGATATAGGTCAGCATTTCCAAAACCGCTGGGGCTACACAGCAGTAGGGGTCTGATGGGTGAAAAGCATCTCTAAATTCCAGTATGCCACTGCTCTTCTTCAAGCATTAATTTTTGTTTAGCTTCCTCCCTCCCCAACCTAAATGGCTTGAATAACTCAGCTTTCTTCGTGGTTACCAGGACACCCCCAACTAGGTTTGGCCAATTAGTAGAGCATTCTCTCCATACATTCAAAAGATTAAAGGATGCCAAAGGAAGTCTCCAGTCCCCAGCATGGAAACAGAAGGGCCCAGAGGAGCCAAATACAAAACAGCCAAAGAGAACCATATAGAAAATTTAAAACATGGATCAATTTTGCCAGCTGATCTTATTCCTTTCATCCAACTAAAAGCATCTTGGGGCAACACTCCCACCCAGGAGGAGACTGTCTGCTCCAAAACAGCCTGAAGTCACCTGCCTGGGAGGAGGAGGAAGAGCAGGAGAAAAACATCCTTAGGTTATCTCCCTCGTAGCAGAAGATACAATCAGCAGAGGGTTGCATCGAGCTAGTACCAAGCTCAGCTGTAAAAGAAAAAACAGAAAGTTAACAGATACTACTTCAACTAGTACAAGTGATTAGACTGAAGTGGTCTTGGGACAATTGCAAGAACTTGCAGAAGGCTGCAGTTCTGATCAATCTTAGACATACTGGGCATTTATAGACGTGCTCCAGGAGTGAGGCACTCGAAATAGAGTGGCTCAGAGAGCTGCTCTAATTAAAGCGCCGAGAACATCACATGCATCAGTGATCCTGCACTGAAAAGTGGCGGCTGGGCACTGTAATTAAAGCATTACCATGCTCCAGCCGACTCTGTTAAGCCTTCCTGAATACGTATAGGAGCTCATTGTTTTGATGGGAGGAGATTAAAAACAAATAAAAAGATAGATATTCTGGTATTGGTCGTGGTTCCTTGTCCTCCAATAGCGTGAGGTGTAGGATTTCTGAACATAGGACTGGAAGGAACCACTCGAGTCACAACCTCGCGCCCTGCTCTGCCAGGCAACCACTTATATAATCCTTTCATAGGCTGATCCAGCTTCACTTCACCACATTAGGGTGCGCGTCCCCACTTCTCTCATGGATGTTGCTCCAGAACTTTATTTGCGTGGTTAGAAACCTCTTTATTTCAAGCCTATATTCATTCATGACCAGTTTATACCCATTTGATCTTGCACCAAGATGTTGAGCTAAATGACAAAGTTGTTCTTCTATAACTAAATAAGCCAAGCTCTTTTCATTTTTTTATCTCGATAGGTTCTCCCTTCCCCAGATCACCCTTTGGTATCCCTTCTCTGTACCTGCTCCAGTTTGAGTTATATATTTAAAAAAAAAGATTGAGGGGCCACAATTATACACCATATTCCTGTGAACAAGCACGGCTAATGTTGAAAACGTATCCTCCCAATCTCATCTGCCCCATCCACTGCCTATATGTAAACAGCATTTTGTTTAGACCAGTAGGGTGCCAGTGGTGGACTATACTGATCTAATTAAATGGATGCAAGCCCCCTCCTGGAGAGACAAACCTAGCTTTACATGAAGCCTATCAGAGATAAATCTATAACATGTGTCCGAAGGTGCTAGGGGTGCCTCTCCAATGTGATCTGAGAGCGAGCTCAGGGGGGTGCCCCCAGAGCTGTTCATCTGGTGAGGAGAGGATCTTATAGCCATCTGTAGGTCAGTAAAGTCTAATGCCCAAGAACAGCTCCTAGAACAGAATTAGGCCTAATGCTGGCCTTTGCTTTAAATGAAGCCGTTGAGCAGCTTAGAACATCCAACTCTTGGCATCAAACTTATATTCACCCCATTTCAAGGCTCTCTCCAAAAGTGCTATGAGATTTTCTACATTTGCAGGCAAAGGGAAAAAAAACAAAACAAAACAAAACAAAAAAAAAAAAACAACACACATTGAACCTAGGCACCCCAGAAGTGGCACCCAGGGCTGCACCAGCTACACAGAAAAAAATCTAGCAGAAAGAACTACAGCATCCCCTTTCTACCTCTCCCCTCTAAGAACAGCTTTGAAGATATGTCTGTAGCAAAAAAAGCAAACAAAGTACCGGTCCTACAACACTTTATACCATTGTGCACTTGAATGAAGACATCTGTTCTACGCAAAGGGCACTGAATCAGTAAAGATGACAAACTCTAAGGATATTGATACAAAATACATCTCACCTTCCTCCTCCCTTGAGGACTGGGATCAACAACATTAGGACCCCACAGCACAAGCTAGAATAGCAGATATCAAAGGATGTCAATTGATAGTCCCAGCACACTCTCCTATCCTCACTCCCCTCTCCGCACTTCTTTCAGGACACCTGATACTACCCAGCACTGGGAACTGAAGGATTCATGGATTTGTGCTACACTTCTTAGCCAAGCCAGATCAGCATGTTAAGAGCACAGTGATAGCTAGAGGCAAGGTTTGATCAGTGGCACTTGGGAACAGAAGGTTTGTGCTAGGGACGGATGGATGAAATAAGCCAGGTGGTAACTCTCACTCCCTACCCACCCAAGGCTGGGAGACTCCAGATGCTGTACCTCAGACTTATCATGCATCACTGTTCTTGCAGCCCCTTGTCCTGGAAACCCCTATTCTAATCAGCCCTGACTCCTTATAAAGGGCAAGCTTTGTTTCTAGACATGGTGGTCAATACAGACACTGCAGAGTAGGATAGTAAATGAGAAGAAGTCAAGGGGTGAAGGTTATGCACTAAGCTGTACAAGTGACTGGATGTGCTCCAAGGGGAAACGTTTGGCTGCAAAGTTCAGATCAAGATCTCAGACAGCTCAGATCCAGGGGTCAGATTTGGCTGCTGATTAAACAGAATTGCTTATTTTTTAATCTAGAGGTAAATGCAATTACTTAATTTATCTTGAAGGACTGTGGAAGTAAGAATGAAGAAGCAGTTTAGTGCTCGAGGCAAAGAACTACCACATAGAACTATTCAAACAAGTCTGACAAGGCCGTTTTGCACTGGAAAATGCATTTTGTTGAAAACATTCCAGCTTTCACAGGGATGTGTCAGTTTCGCCAGCTATAATAAGGGAAAAAGTCAAAGCATTTTGTTCTACATTCATATTGACATTGCTCCTTTATCAAATACGAGTATAAAGACGTTTTGAATTCTCATTCGGCAGATATTCTGAAGTTTCAACTTTTGTTGTTCCAGATCTGAACAAAAAACAAATCTCAGCCCATCAGAAATTCCTAGAGCATGAAAATTCTGGTTTCTAACCAGCTCTCCTGCCGGGCAAGCTGACTCAGCAGGCTTCTAATATTCTTCCCGTCAATACATCTCAAATCCTGAATCTCAGTCCTAAATGGCAGACCATTCATATTCTTCTGCTGCATCTTCATGATACGTATACATGTTCACTAAAAGCAATGTAGACAGCTTGAGAGGATAGGGTGTGAAAGGACTGCATTGTTCCTCCCTCTGTGGAATAAAAGCATTGCTTTCAAGCCCAGCTAAGATACTTCAGGGCTTTGGGACTTGGAGGCCTTGTAGACAACAGCTTGAAGCTTGCCACCATTTTCCTGATCCCAGTGGCAGGCCCAGACAGCACAACACTACAAAGTTAAGCAGATGGTTGCCAAAAATAAAAATTTTGTACTTTTTTTTCCAGGGGATTAAAATGCTGATCACTGTAACACCACCTCATGAACGAGCTTCACTTCACCCACAGACTCCACCTCCACCCATACTACCTAAGCCTGGGAAAGACAACCTTAGGCTCCAGAGACTCTTGAAGAAAGCTGCAAAGAAAGCAACCTTAGGTCCACAGCAAGCCAAGTTGTTCCGGTCTAGTCTCTCCCCAGTGAGCGAAGCCAGCCCAGACCTAGAGCACAGTGACCGCTCCTCCCTGGTAAAGACCCCAGAAACTTCAACCCACCTCACCATCAACCTCCCTCCCCGCTTTTCGATCAAGCCCATCATCCACCATGTCCCAACGCCTTTCCTGAAGAGCAAGCCCTTCACGTTCACGGTAACGGAGCAAAGAAGCATCTCTGAACATCTGAAGCTCACGGTCTCCCCGGCACCATCCCCAGTGCACAGGCAAGGTACTCCAGAGTCAGTCATGCCCAGCCAGCTTCCCCATCCCCAGACACATTCTGTATTTGTTTTCCCCGAGCCTCCTGTCTCTGTCACACCTGTCATCACAGAAGCTCCAGTGGAGGTTGCCCACGTCAGCAAAGTGCACACGTATTTCCATAGCGTACCGTCACCCAGGCCTAAGACTCCTCTCTCAGACCAGGTCCCTAAACCCCTCAGCGATGAGATGCAGAGGCCTTTGCCCACCCCTCCAGAGACAAGCCACTCAGGACAGACACCAGTCTCTCTCAACACTGGTGAGGCTCAAACTGCCACTCCCAAGTCAGAGCCCTCCATCCTTCCTTCTGTGACAGTAGAGCTCCCCTACCAAGCCCCCAGGCCTGCAACTCCTAAAGAGCCCGGTGGGGACAGTTCCCCCAGGGCTAAGACCCCAGATGCCCAATGCAAGAGACCTGCAACTCCCAAAAGTGACATGGAAAAATCTAAAACGGAGCAGGCGTCCAAACCCCACGAGACGCACAGTGAGAGTCTAAAGCCACCGCCTTCCAGTGCAGCTCAGAAGCAAGACACCCCAGTGCCCGTGATGACAAGTGACACCACCAGGGTTTCCTCCACAGAAGCAAAGGAGGAGCACATCATTCCACCACAGCCCACTGCGGCCTTTTCCAGTGCTGGCCCTCTCCCCAAAGCTGAGCCGACACTACCATCTGTGGATAAGTCTAAGCCTCCTAGAGTTGGTCTCAGAGGCTGGTCTCGCCTCAAGAAGCACTTGATAGTGGAACCAGAGGAGCCCAAGTTCCCCGAACCTGAGCCAGCCATGCCTAAACAGGAGGAAGAAGGAAAAAAGAAGTCAGACCTCTCTCAAGGGAGCACCAGCCAAGACAGGCTCGTTAAACCAAGGGCCACCAGGATGTGGGATGCCATATTATATCAGATGACAACAAGCAAGATGAGAAAGCAGCAAGATAAAGACAAAGGGGTGAGGAAGGTAGTGGGATTTCCATTCCGGTGCCACTTGCCTCTTCTTCTTCACAGACCACGCTTTGACGCCCGGAAGTTGAAGGAGCTGGCTTCCAAACCAATGACAAGGATCACCACCGTGTTCGAGCTAAGCCTGCTCCACCGCAAGCCACCCGAGGAAGACCCCAAAAACTTTAACAGGACTGCATCAGGGTGGCAGATAAACTGAAGCCAGCTGAACTCCACCGTGGCAACTAATACGCTTCACCCCTCCCTCATGCGGGTCCTCCAGGATTCAGGGCAAGCTCTGCACAGGAAAGCCTCTTATAAACCAGGCTTCTCTGCTGAATGGAGCCACGTGCAAGAAATAAATAAAATCTTTCACACCCAGCAACTTTATCCTGAGGGTTTTAGGGGTTACCATGTCTGCATACCTAGAGTTATACATATATGAAATGCACTTAACTTCCACCACTGTGGGTTCTGAACCCACAAAGAATAGAATGACACATACATGAAGACCAGAGACCAAAAGGAAAGCAGTGAAGAGACCTGCAGAAAAAAAACCCAGCCACATAGTAACATTTAAATTTACCTATAGGAAGGAGATGGAATCTTAGGAATTTTTCTTACAGCATTACAGGAGGCACTAGTCTGGAAACAGGATAGGTTGTGGCAATGCAGATCTCTGCACTACATTAATTGTAAAAGTTGTCTTCTCCTGGGCTGTAGTTCCAGCTTGTTAAAAGTACAGCTCCTGAACCACTGAGTTTATTGCTTCTTCAATGAAGCAGCTAATGAGGGCTTCAATTCCTGCTCGCTTGGAAAGAGAGAGAGAAATTAATTCCCTTCATGTCGAGCATAGTCAGGGGGCAGAATGGAGCTATGTTGCATGCTGCTCTACTACTAGCGAGTCCAGAAAGCTGCTTTTCATTAGTTTTCAAACAAGGTCTGCTTCCAAGTAAATATTAGGTTATGGAGTATAGGGAGCCCTTTCTTCTAATGTTTAGAGATAGTTTCAGTTCCAAATGCTTTTGAGTAGCACCTGTTGAGGAAGAATATAGGAGGGACTAGCAATTGTGTACTTCAGTTTTTGGATGCCCAACTTGAGATACTTCAAGGGCCAGGTTTTCAGAAGATAGGCACTGAGCACTTTTGGAAGCAAGCGTGTGGAAATCAGGTCCTACATGGGCATGTCAGAATGGACAAACACATCACCAGTCACAGTTGAACGTCTTGACATCTAGAAATAGGTCAATACATAAAGAGGGCAAGGGGTGTGCAAGCAAGTGCACACACTTACAGAACTGAAGCCTTCCTTAAAAGAAGTTGTTTGCAGAGCTGTCCAAAAGCAGTCTCTTGCACACACACAATGTCTTATAGAGTCTGTCATTTATTTGGCACTGTTATTTTGGGTTCAGGCAGGGAATTCTGGGACTGAATTCTCAAGACTCCAAGCTACAGCGGCTCCACCTTGCCACTGCTATAGCCAAAGGGAGAGAGGGTCAGTATTTCCTCCTGTTGCCATTTTCAGGTACATCATAAGCCTGTTCCAGCCTGTATTTTTCCTGATGGCTTAAATATTTGTTACCCACTAAGCACCCAATCCAGACAGTGAAAGGGATAACAAGATAATCTATAGTCAATGAAAGGCAGAAGGTCCTGATGGGATGGAAACCTCATGCTTCAAGGTGTAAGTTAGCCTCTAGCTACTGGGTATTAAGATAACATTTCCTCTGGGGTCAGGTCTTTTCTAGAATTGCCTACTGCAGAGTTCCTCGCACCTTCACCAATTCAGCTGAAGATGGCTGAACAGATGGACATAGGGTCTCATCTGCAGTAGCAATTCCTCTGTGCTCTCCTTCTCCCTCCAAGGTATCTAGCATTAGCTACTATTAGACAAGATACCGGACTACAAGGAAGGCTAGTCTATTCAAACATGGCAGCTCCTTTGATTTTTTCAGGAATTTGGCTGAAAGGTCACAGGTGGCAGCTGACAGGAAGGGCACATTATAGTGACCAGCTGATATAGATTGCAATGCTATTCTTCCTGTTGGTCAAGCAGGATAGCCCACCAGCAACAAGTGGACCTGTTCCCAATTCTGCCTTAAGATGGACTGCTTAGCAACAAGGATACTCCATGCATTTGGGGCGCCCTTTGAGCAAGTAGCCTTCTACAAGCAGCCTCGGTTCAGCTCCACGCACTGGGCAATGCAGGAGACAGGCATGAACTCCCTTCACAGAAGACATCACATCTTCCAGGGCAGGGCAGTTAAGCCTTCTCCCAAACCTAACCCAGCCACAATAATGCACTATAGCTATCACTGGAGTACTATAGCCAAGGCACAACTTGGCAAGACCTAGGATTTTTTGGTAAAAAAGCGCCAGATCTTAGCAATGTAGGAAACAATGACAAATCCAAAAAACTGATGCTCCTTTAACAACTCCTATTTCTTCTACGGCTTTTTGTCCATAGCCATTTGGATTTTATAAAAGTGTTATTTTCCTTTTGTGAATTTTAAGCATCATTAACAAATATTTTTTCTGGCTATTTTGGGGTGGGTTTGTTTTGTGGGCTGTTTTGCTTTTAAATGTTTACATCTCCATAGCCACAAGGCCTAGAGAGAGTGAGCTCAAACAGCAAGCATTCAAGAATTTCAACTTCCCCAGAGAAGGTGGTTGCCATAAGGAAGAATATTTCTGCATAGCTAACGTAGGATTGGCATGCTTAGCCCCAAAAGGACATTTGATAGGCATGTTTACTTTCTGTTCCTTGCACAGGATAGAGCTAGTGAGAGTTTTTCCATTTAAAATGAGGAGGTAGAATTTCAAAAGCAGTATTTTTACTTTTGTGGAAACTTTTTGGATAGAAACATTTAAACTGAAAAATTCGTCTTCAAAATTAAATTTGCAGGGGGTTTCAGTATGCAATTCTCTTCTTTAATCCTTTTTCTACCACCCCATCTTTTTCCCCAGAGCAAAAAAAAGGAAGAAAGAAGAGAAAACCCTGAAGTCTATGTATGAGTTTTTCAAAAAAATCTGCAGGTAGCAAATTTTTCTGTAAACTATATTGTTGGTTTCTTTTTACCAGCTCTGCCAAACAGACTGGCAGCAAGTTAAAGTCCCAGTCACATGGAAGGACAGGCTATTACAGATAAGACTTTCCTGATCTAGGCTGAGAATGGAGGTATTTTCCTTTGGTGAACAACTTTGTGCATTTAGCCTGATGTTTTTAGAAGGTGCACAAGGGAGTTTTGAGAATCAAATTCCACAGCACTTCAACGGGATTCAGATAGCATCCAACTCCCTTGGGTCCTCTAAAAGAAAAGAAGGTTGGGTTTTCAGTAGTTTGAAAATAGAGTAGCAACTGGAAAAACTCCCAAGTCAGCCTCTTAGTTGCACATAATTCAGAAATATCTGCACAACTGTGCCTGAAGCCTGGCTTGTGCATCAATAGGAAACTAATGATTTCATTTAGGGTCGCATTTTTTGGTAACCAATACATAGTCTTATCAGTACGACTGTTAGCAGGGACACAGATAACTGCCCTTACTGTGGGCTAGTATAAAAGCACCTTGTTCTGAAGTAACCTATTCCTTTTTCTCTTTGGGAAAGAACCTTACCCACATAAAACGCCTTTAAACCAGTATTATTGTATCTGCATTAGAAGAAGTTGTACTATTTTATTCTAGAATAATTCAAATCTGTCCAGTTTAGACAAGACTTAAAATCTCTAGATAATACATTTAGAAATTAATGAATGAACTGTTTAATTAATTACTTTAATTCATTCAGCACAAAGAAGTTGCCCTCTCTAGGAAATTAAATTTTCTTCCATCTTGCATGATATTGAGCATGATTTTGCAGCCAGTATACGCAGGGGTGACTATTAACATCTTTAGGGATTAGCCATGGTCAGGTGCTGATGCTGAATAGGAGTTACTGGTGGGCAACAAGGAGCTGCCTTAGTTTATGATTATCAAGAGAGAAACTCTGTAGCAGAGTCCTAGGTATTTCTGGACAGGTGCATCCATTTCAAATGACAAAAATAAATAATTTATTCCAGGAGCGAGCAAACTATGGGCCCACAGGCCAGATCAGCCCAGACAGATTTTATCCAGCCTGCCAAACACATTTGTACAAGAATGCACCGTCTAAAGGCCATCTTCCTCAGCTGCCTCCTCCAGTCTGCCACCTCTGTCAGCTGCTGCTGCCACCACCTTGGACCTAAGGGAGGGTCTAGCTGCTACTGAAAAGTTGGCGACCCCCGATTTATACCACTTAAACATGCACATATGTATATTATATAGCATGCCAATTTGGAATACAAGGTTGAAGACAAGCAAGACAGAATTTCATGTAGGAAGGATTCCAAAACCCATTCCCCTTTTTAAATTTAGCTTGCTTCAGCATAGCTGCTTTGTGAGGTCAGTTATTTGCAGTCCTATAGCAGTGGTCAAGAGTTCAACGGCAGTCCCTTTGTTTGCTAGTATATAGTACCCTCTCCTCCTGTTGCCAAAACAAAGTTGCTTTAAAAAAAAAAAAAGAAAAAAAAAAAGAAAAAGAAAATCCTGCTACCTACACACAGATACCACAGGAATATATTTACAGCATAGTAAGAATAACCCTACTGTAGCATTGGTTTTGCACATGCAGGGGTCCTCAATTACCTTTCACGGATTCTGGATTATTGCTGTCAAGCAAAACTACTGATTATTACAGTGGGGAGGACAGGCCAGTTTGGCAAAAGAACGTTATTTCAGGAATTGTTGAGTTTCAAATGACTTTGTCCATAGCAACAGTGAAGCAGTGAACAAGCAGCTCATATATGAGAGGAGAGAATAGGTGCTTGCTGAGCTCTGCATTTAGTGTGGCTTATAAGTTTGTTCACTTGCTTTGCCTCCCACCTCACTGCATTTACAGCCTGCTGCATAAGCAGGAGCCTAGCTTACCAGGAGCTCAATTTCCTTAATGAGAAGGAGACTAAGGCAGGTCACACTGAATTGCTTAGCCTTACAATAAAAGGAGAGGGAGCAAGTCAAAGCCAGAAGCAGATGCACTGGGTAAGGCTAGGTTTGTTCTTGGCACAAGGAGAGAAGTGAGATAACAGACGTAGGCGGCACAAGAAATTTAGATGGCATTACGGTAGGATACTTCACAGTAAGTCAGTGCATTGAGATTTTTCTGAGCAGGGTTGGCTGACATGTGAAAGGGAGAAGACAATGACAGTATTTCTCAGGCTACTTCATTGTATTTTTGGGCCACTGATTTAACTGTACATGAAGCAGTGGCATCCAGTCAGCAAAACTCTAAGCCAACACTTAGAAATACCCACTTACTCCATTAGCCTGCAAGAGACGTAAGCAAGTGAGAAGGGGTAAAGTATGGGGAAACATTCAATATCCAGCATTTAAACACTTTATAGAAAGCCCTCAGGTGCTTAACAAGTGACATGATAGGGTTCTGGATGCTTCCTTGGACCATAAGGTAGAAATGTGAACGAAACTGGAATGATGGGGAACGAAGAAAAGAAAAATAGTTGGATGGATCTCAAGGCACAACAGCCAGCCAACAAAGCAAGTGAAAGTGGAGGTAAAGCCAACTACCTATTTAAACTCTTTTGCTGTTTGTAGCCAGAAGAAAATGCATCCATGCTCAGATTCAAATGGGGCAACAACAGCACCACACCATGGTCATTCAGAGTATCAGCTCTCATCTGAAGGAATGCCTAGCTGTCACCTACCCTTCCTTCAAGGAGGGTTGGTTAGCTTCCTACCACTGGCAGGCCTCTCCTAAATCTGGCTCAGGAAAAAACAAAACAAAAACAAAAAGCTTGTTTTTCTATGGCTGGAGAGGAAGGCACCCTTTTACTAACAGTATAAACTCAGATAGGGCGAGTATACCCTAGTATGATTTACTGTATGGGACAGCCACACTTAGCAAGGCCAGGCTTGGTATACAGAAGTAAAAGCTAGTAAAGGGGACTGCATAAACGGAGATAAGGGGTATGTTGAAAGCAAAACAAGTTGAGGCAGGTTTTAGAAATGATGACAGTTATAAGGGTGAGGGGATCAAGTTGCCAGAAGGACTCCATATCCTATGTTTGCATTGCCAGACAACAACACACATGGCAAGTCCTCAAGGATGGCCTTCTGAGCTTTCTATCTCATCATATCCTGGAAAGAAAGATACTGCACACTTGAGAACTTGTTTAAAGAGAGAGCCAGGGAATGTAATCCCAACTGAACTAGGGAAGAAGAGAAACAGTGTTTTCTGAAGACAGAGCTACATATAAAGCTTAGAGAAAAAATAAATGCTATTATGGAAACAAGTCACATGCTGTTTTTATCTGCACACAGTGTCTGGCACTCAGACTGCTCTGCCCCTATCACACCACTCTATGCCAGCACCTTCTTGCCACTAGAGCCCTTTACTGTAATCCACTTAAGATAACACAGCAATCTTATTAACCTAAGCAACAAGCTCTTGAAAGAGGGATGCTCCAAGACTGACTGTACTGGTGACAAAAGATAGCTCTATCCTTTCTTTCAGTGTGAACAGAGAGTCCCTTCCACTGCCTGGTTTATCAGGAGCCAATGCACATTTTCAAGAGTTATTTTTTCTCCCTATGGGTCTAATCCGAAGGCCACAGCAGTCAGTGTAGTCTTTTCACTGCCCACACAGAAATCGCTGAATTAAGCTTTATAAGGACATGGGTAAGAGGGCTGCCAGTTCCCACGTGCTTGACCAGTGAATCCCAGTTCGGTGCTTGCATTGCAAAGAGTGAGAAATCTAGGCCCAAGAGATGGGACTGGAGAACACCTTATCTGACCAAGCCAGATTCTTCCTTGGGTTAATGAAAAGAACATTGCCTTATGAATACTTTGGTCAGCAAGGCAAGTTCTCAGATACCCTGCTCCCTGCAGCCTCTAGAAAGAACTACCCGTATTCCACCATCTTCCTGTCCCCAAGACAAAGTCACTGAATATTCACTGAAAAGTAGGAACCCAACCTCTACTACATGGTACCTTCCTACCCACTAGGCCCCCTTCTTCACCTATAATGCACAGAATTATTCTAGCTACCCATAATGTATGACCGAGTTTCTCCTACCTCAAAAGGCAATGTCCCACCTACCTGGTTAATTAGTACTCTGGACATACTATTGTTCTGTTGCATCATCTATCAACACCTTCTTGTACTGGCCATGTCCAGTTGATATGAATTTGTACTTCTTGCCAGGAGTGCTCTGAAAGGGAGAAAAGAGAGTTAGCATCTTTCCTCAAATGCACATCTCCTCTGCCAGGGTTAAGAGATGATTAAGGCATCTAAAAACGTTAGGGATTGAGAGCCAAGTTAACCGACACCCGAGGAGCAAGCCAGGTTCTCACTGACATCACTATATTTGTTCAGATTCCTATTTGTCTTGGTTTGCATTTGCCTCTTCACCTTCACCACCACCCACATCTGTCCTTAGACAAAAAGGAGGTTAATCACTTTGGGACCATCAGCTAAGATGGACATCTTTAAGGCTCATATCCATCCATATTACAAAGTAGCTTAGGGTATGGTTGGGGAGGCTTGCCTAACAAGAACAAAGGCAGTATTCCAGCTGAAAGTCCTACAGAACCAAGGTAATCATCTGCAACCCGGGGGGGGGGGGGCCGGGGGGGGGGGGGGGGGCCAGGAGTGGGAGAGGAGACAGTAAATATGAATTTTTGCTATGTACATGCACCACTAGAGGCCACTACTCTTCTCGGAACAAGGCAAACAGCCCAGCAATAGCAGTTTACAGGAAACCAAACCCAGGTCTTTAACTATTCTCCCCTAGAGAGAGACTGTTTAACTTTAAAGGCTATTAAAAAAGAGTCAGAGCTATGAGTCGGATCCAGATGCAAACACACCAGAACAGTATTTGAAATCTTGGCTTAGGCTAATCATTACATTAGTAGGGACACTTATTAGAATAGAAAGAAGTTTAGAAAAAATAGCTCCCGAGGTGCCTTCTTACTGCCCTGTCCCCCTTCATAGTCCTGAAAGACTCAGCAGGTTACTGTTATGAAGGAAACCCTTTGACCTAGGCCTGTGGTTGCCTTGGGGCATAAACCGATGTTGCCTGCCAACATATGGACCTCTTCCTTTTTTCATGTTCCCTCTCACCCAAGGAAGAATTCTCTGTTCTATACTAGAAAGCACAGATGCCAAGAAAAACAAATATTTTACCTTGGCATTGCCTTCGAGCTTTGGGCCACCTTTCTGTTCCCAAAGGCTTCGTTTACTCACGATGTCTCCAGCCACAATGTCCTGAAAACCAAAGATGCCTTTCCTTAACCATCAATACTGATTAACACCACTTTTACTCCTGTCACCTGCCTAGTTTAAATCAAGGGCATGGACAGCAGGATCTCACAGTCCTGCTGGGCAAGGAAGTGGCCAAATGCCATAGCCCATGATGAGATCCCTCCCTTTATTCAGCTATCGTGAACATGCGTTTAACTTTAACATTGTACTGAGTTCAAGGCCCAAGCATAAATTTTGTAAGACATGGGAATGGTGTTATTAGGATGACTGCTAATATTCAAAGAATTTCACTCCATAGCAATCCTTTTTTTTCTTTTTTGTCTCCATACATTTGCAACCCTGGTTTTGCAAAACCATGCTAGCTCAGAGCCAGATGATACATCCAACTAGAAATGGTGTGAAAGAGTAGCCTCCTCATTTTCCAAGGTCACACTACCTCCCTCCTTGAGATTAGGAGCTGTTAGCACTCCAATTCATGTTAGTTCCCAATTATGCAGTTATTGGAAGCCACCATGTCTAATAGCGAGTATATTCCTGTTTCAATTAGGGATAAGATTAATTTCTTTCCCTGGGGTTTGCCCAGTTGTAGCTTAATCCTAGGTACAGAGAAGGCTTTAGCCAGGTGCTGAAAATAGGAAGTGAACACTGAAAGTTTTAGTGTCATCCCAATAAAGGAGAGAAGAGAAGGAATTGTATTCTGTTGATATTGTCCCTTAAAATGTACTACTTCTGATGTCATAGTTTGAGTTAAGACTCCAAAGTACTACCAGGTAAGACAGGCAATGAATTCATTTCAATAAGCCCAACCAGTCATATAACAGGATAAGGTATCTTTCTAAAGCTTATGACACTAAATGCAGGAGAGGGGTGGGTAGGAGTCCTAAGGTAAGAGAAAGAACTCTTTTCTTCATGGTGCAGAAGGTCTAGCAGTCTTACCTTACAGGCTGGTGACTTAGGAGAAGCTTGAGCTGCAACCTCTCCAGTCTCCCAAAGGCTTTTCGTGCTGGCAACAACCATACCAGCAGGAAGGTCAATGGAGGGTTGTCGGACAGGTTTCTGAGCCTTAGCAGATGTCTGGGAAACAAGCAAAATCAAGCTTTAGACACCGAGATTTTTCTGCAAATAAATGTTCTTATGGTAAGTCAGATTGCTATCATTCCCCACTTGATACATTAACTCACAGAATCGCGAGTGCCCAATGAAAACACAGAGTAGCTAGAAGGTTATCCATGCCCACTGTAGGGACATGGAGGCATAAGCGAAGACACCGCACCACTGCAGGCTGGTAAGAAGCCATTTAAGCAGGTCTCTTCTCTGCTCAAACCTGCACAAGATCTCTTCTCCTACTGAAATGAAGAGCACTGGTAGGCATATGGCAAATTCAGTAGGTACCATCTCTTCTAGTACTATTTTAGGTAGCGGTTAAAGCAGTGTCTACAGGGATAAAATGAAAGTGCTATAGTGAGAGGATGGAGCATCCCATGGAAGTATAGGCTACATGAAGCTCGGACTAGAGAAGGCTTCAGCTATGTGGTGTGGAGTATTACCTCAATGGCATGAGTGTACTGCTCCAGTCTGTCATCAATCTTTGAAACAGGAAGGGGTGGCTGAGTCTTCTTTATGCTGTTGCTAAAAAGAGAACAGAAGAGAAGGGGGAATAAAACAATACTCTGATAAGTTTACCAGAGTGAAGCCTCCCCAAGCCTCTTATGGAAAAAGCTACTAGGCTCCCCTGGGTCAAGATTTTTAGCTCAGAAAGATGATCAAGCATCCTGTTACCTAGTGGAAAGTATTCCCTTTCATCAAGGCAGCAGAGACCTCAAGCACATACAGTTCAGATGTTGCCTTTGGTTCATGTGAGCATCTGTGGGATGACTATGTCCACAGTCAAAGCCCAGCAGAAAATTGCCAGAGGAGAGTTACCTTTTCTGTATGGAGCGGCTCAGGGATTCTGTGCGGTC